TTTTTGGTTATAATGCTTTTATGCTTCCAAGGCTTGTTTAGTGTCCTTACGTAAACTAAAATTTTGCCTATTATTACTAAATACAGAGCCGGTCCATGGTATTTCGGGGGCCCCGGTGCAAATTATGTTTAAGGCTCTTTAAAAATAAGTAACCTAAACGGATATATACTTTGTTGATATTCTTTAATTCCTTGTCAATTGTGTAATTTTAATGAGTAATATTCATATAAATAAAGAAATAACCGATTAATAAAAAATACAAAATTGTGAATCATAATGTGTGTTTTAAGAGATAATGAAAAATATTAAAAATATTATTCTTTATTATCTTTTAAAAAAACACCATTAAGTAAAAATTAAGAACTCTCCGTGCTTTGGCTTTTGGCTTGGGCAAACCTTTTTATCATTTCCGTTAAATTAATTATATCGGCAATCTCATTTTCAAAAGAAAATAAAGTCCTTGATTTATTGAGATTCTCAAATAAGTTTTAATCAGCTTAAATTTAGAAAAGCTTCAATCCCCTGAGACTATAATACTTTGCATAGTTTCTATAATTCGAAAAGCCACACATAGATTCATAAAATACATTCATCAGGTTGTTACTTTTTAAATATTTTAATGGTGTCACTTTTGATGGAAGTACAGTTGAAATCATTTGTTTTTAAGAAAATAATTATTTTCACATCATTGTCAGAATATCCCTCAAAAGTTATTTTTTAAATCAAGGCAGTTTTTTTTGAATTCTGAAGAACATTTTGTAATGAATGTACATTAAAAATGATTAAACCTTTTCTTCAGTGAAACAACTACATTATCAATAAGAACATTGAAGAACTCTGTTCGATAATTTCTTTAGGATCTTGGATAGGGTCATCATTACTTTCGTAAAAAATATAACTCTTTTTTTGCGCGCACTTAAGGAATGTGTGTTTATAAACTTTGGTTTCACGTCTATTTCACTTGCAAGCTCTTTAGGGTTTGTGATGCAACTGCAGAAGCCATTATCACAAAAATCTTCAAGGAATATTAGTGTCTTCTTTGTTAATTCACATGTCATTTTTAAATCTGAATCTTTTGCTTGCATCATTTAACTAATTACGTACAAATTAAATAAAAAAGACGATCTCATACCAGACAAAAACTTGATTTTTTAGCGTTTCAGCTTCGTTTCGGCAATCGGTAGGAAAAGAATCACTACGAATTGTTTCATATAATGCATCGTATATTCCTCCTACCTGGTAACGTAATGCTTTAACACTGTTTATGCGTGCTTCCCACCGAGTGTCTCAAACTGACTTAGACTAGACTTAGACTTTTTACTAGAGTTAAACCTTCTTTTTGAAGGTGATTTTTAAGAATACTCCATCGCTTTGAAGACGCAGAAAAAAAGGTGTACAAATTCTAAATAAAAACCAAAAAAAAAAAAAAAAATAAACTAACTGAAATTTTTGCAGCATTTGATAAAGTTAAATTAAACTTATGACATGTAAAGGGAACAAAAAAAGCCAAAGGGTTTAGACTAGAAATTTTTACGGCAACTTCTGATTTTTTCATGCTTAAAATCGATCGTTTTATTTTTTTTAATTGCATTTTCTGGAGTAATCCATTTCTGCATAGCTTCCATATGAGACTTATTGTTTTTGTGAATTTTTAGTTTTTCTGACAGTTTACGCCAGTAACATACACCACCACCAGCATGTGAAAATCTGTTTTTAGATGTTAAAAACAACTTGCAACAGAAATCGAAGATAGCATTTTTAGATTTTGAATAAACCAACCAACGTTCAGCTACTTATTCACAATATCAGAAATTTCATTATTATCATTATTACTGTTTTTTCCGACAACGTCACGCAAATTTTCCTCATTAGTTGTTAGAATATCACTTTAAGACAACTGTTTTTCATCTGTATCTCTATCTGATGTATTCTACATCAGCAATAGTAATTCCAGTGGAGACACTTCCTTCATTAGCAACAACCTGAGTGAATAATATGTTATGCTCACTTTTTAGAGATTGAGTGACAATTTCGCTGCCTATTTAATATAAAGATCCACTTGGAATTTCTCCATCAAAAAAATATTAGTATCGCAGGAAATTTTAAAATACTTGTTTTAAACACCTGTCTTTTATTAAGGAATACTGTTTGTTTCAGTATTTTTTTCTTTTCAGAACACCAGGTTCATACTTTCAACAAACCGACATTATTGGAAATCCAGCGTATGTTTGAAACTATGAAAAAAGTGGCTACGCCTTGTGGCTACACAGTTTGCACTAAACTTTGGTTTATGGTCGGAAACCTTGTTGTAGTCTCGGAAACTATAAAATCGGTTTGTGATTGTGATAAAAAAAAGTGAATATTGCAATATAATATTTAATATCGCAAAAAAAATATGAGATAAATTTGTAAATATGTAAATAAAGGAGAGGTTTACTATATATTCTCCTGCAAAAATGACGAACCCCTAAAAATTGAAAAAATATAGGGCCCCGTTGCGTGGCAACCTTTGCACCCCCCTACTAACCGACTCTGACTAAACATCATTCCAAACTCATTTAAAAAGTTAATTTAAAATTGTAGTCTATCATTTAGAAAGCTGATCTTACTTCAATAATTTGATTAGTTCGTTCAACATGTTTGATTAGTTTGTTCAACATGTTTGATTAGTTCGTTCAACATGTTTGATAAGTTTGTTCAACATGTTTGATTAGTTCGTTTAACATGTTTGATTAGTTCGTTCAACATGTTCGACAGAATGTAATTTAAATGATTTTAGTGATTATATGGAATGTCTGATTTTTCCCATGTAAACATTTTTCATAAAAGTTATTAGAAGAAATGACTATAAATATTGGTTTAATAACGAACACAACAGCTAGATTAAAGAAAATTCAATTATATTCTATTTTTCAAGCCAATTTTTTAGACTTAAACTTGTACCATGAACCTTTTGGTGGGCATCGAAACTGATGGCATTTTTTTACCCAATTCACAATATGCTTTAACATTCGAGTTTAGGGCGGGCAAAAAAAAAAAAAGAAATTGCTTTTACTCAATAATTGGTTAGTTGTAATTATATAAAAAATAAAATAGAATAAAAACTTAAGCTGTTATGCACAAACTTTTATTCACATAAAGTTAAGCAATTTACTCAGTAATTGTTGAGCTTTACGTGAATAAAAACTTAAGCAGTTTTTTAGAAATTTTTGTTCATGTAAAACTGACCAATTACTGAGTAAAAGCATTCAGCCAAAAATATATATGTAAAAATAAAAAAAAATACCAAAGTATTTTATTTGCAATCGAAAAAAAATTAGAAAATCTATTATGATTTTATTACAATAATACTGAATCATTATATGCAAAGATGAAATGTAAATACCAAAGTGTTTTTTTTTTGCAATCAAAGAAAAAAATTAGAAAATCTATTAAGATTAAATTGATATAAAAGTGAATTTTAAAAAAATGATTTTTTAAATTTTATATACAGTATTACCCCCTTTGTTGTTTTGAACAACAATTCAAACAACAATTATTGTTTTTGATGATTTATCTTATAGATACGATGAGCTCTTATAATTGTTATGTCCTGCACAAAAATTAGTTAATCCAATAATTCTTTGGTGATTTCACCGTGAACAATATCCGAACCAACCGGGTTTTTTAAGTTTGTAATTTTGTGTTAATTTAACTCTTTTTTTATGTTGTTTTAAAATTTAAAACTTTTTTGGTTTTGCATTGAATGACGCATTTTGTTACAAAGATTGCATCTAGCCATAACAATAAAGACAGCAGTTTAAATAAGAAGCTATATTTTTCAATCAAAAAATAGCGAGACGGTAATAAGTGATCAGAACTGAACCAACGGTAATTACACATTTTTTAAAAATCCAATACAGACGACGTTAAACATTATAAAAAAGTTGTTTTACAGATATTAAAATTAATTTGCGTTGCCGATAATTAAAGGATTTAATATATTAAATAAACTTAATGTTCACTTAAATTAAATAAACTTAAACGAAAATGAATATAGCAGCAATTCAGTAGCAAAATAAAAACAATAAATTATCATTGAATTTTAAGGTGATTTTAAACCACACCATATTTCCATTTATAAGGTAACTAAACTCTGAAAAATCTGTATATTATCTGCATAGCATATATTTGAACAACATATTCTAAAATCGTTTTTTAAGTTCTTTTTGTAAGTCTGCATTTTGGAAAATACAAAGTCATTATCGAAAGAAAGGGCTCAAAGCAAGCAAAAATACCTTTCAAAACACAAAGGTAGTTCATAGAAAATAGGTGCAATATGTCAATAGGAATTATTTCTAAAGAGCTTCTTTTTTATATATCTTTTATCTTATTTTTATGATATCTTATATGTTACAACAGCCACATTGCTTAAAATGTCATAATATGTTTGCTTTCTTTGATGGAAAATCAAAAATTAAAGTTAATTTAATTTTTAATATATTAATACATATATTAATACTCTAATATTTAATTCTATAAAAAGTTTATTATCTAATTATAAATAATGTATAAAGAATTTTTTTTTTATGCATATTTTATTTTATCATATAAAAGACTATTTATTACATTTACTAAATTACTAAAAGACTATATGAGTCTAACAAATTTGGTTTGATCGTAACCCAAAATGTTAGGTTGCACATAATATTATTTTATGTGAAATAACAGCGCAATGCTTACTAATTAGCACAATATTAGGACATAATAGCATTAATAGCAATAGCAAATTGCATAATAGCACAATACGTACTAAATGTGATATAAAGTCAATTAAGCAAAATACATATAATCGTGTAACTTTAATAAAACAACTCTAACAAAATTTTAAAAATATAAATAAATTCAATTAAATAAGATAATTAAAATAATTTTTTTAATATTGAGCAAAAAAAAAAAATTAAAAGTAAAAATCTTCATAATTAAAATTTCACATTTTCAAATTTATAACTTTCTTTTAGTTTGCGATATAACATCAATGCTGTCCGACAATAGCTATGAGTAAGTAAAATTTAACTTTATATGGAGTTTTATTTATATAGACTTATAAAAAAAAATCATATTTGATATAGTTGTTTCATTTTAGGAAATAGAAAAAAAAAATTGAAAATTTAAAATAAAACAACTTTTAAGCCATCGGAAATATATCATTCTTCATGACTGAAAAATAAACTATGCATCAAAACTACAGTTAAAATTTTAAAATTGTTACCCAAATTACAAAAGTTGAAATTATACAAAAGTGCTGGTAATTTGAAATAGGGCATTCCCAATTACCCTCACTTTAAAAATATTTAAGCTGTGTAAATAGTTCACAGAAATATGATCAAGTATCGCATTTAGCACAAACATCTAAATCTCACAAATTAGGCATATTGGTGACCATGTGGTTTTTTCATCAAGAAACCGCTTTAGTTGCAATATTTTTGTATACTTAATTTATTAAAAAGTTTTAATTTAGCTGAGCCTCATGGTAGCATAACATATAAAAAGCTAATAGATAATCAAAAACAAAAAAGAGCTGAAACTCATACACACATATATATATATATATATATATATATATATATATATATATATATATATATATATATATATATATATATATATATATATATATATATATATATATATATATATATATATATATATATATATATATATATATATATTTATTTATATATAAATATATATATTATTATATGGCTTGTTATACTTATTATACTAACAGTCATGTACGAAATATAAATAAAATCTAATAAGCTAATTTTTTTTTTATTATTATTTGTTTTAACATACGTTCGTAAATTTGTTTATGTGTAGAACAAGTTTTTTTAAATAGTATTTTCAGAGACTTTATGTAATTTATTTTCGTAATTGTAGTATTTTTAAATATTAGTTTATTGTAGAGGTAAGGACCGCGATACGAAATAGAAAAACCAATTTTGTTTTTTAAAATAGTACATTAAAACGTCCTATTCCTCGAATGTCATATTTATTCCTATTGCATTTAAAAATGTCTTATGAAAAATGTGATGTGAGAAGGTCAAGTTTATATTTAAGTATGAGCAAACTTTGACAGAGATTAATTTTATAGACGTCAGTGTGTTAAGAAGTTTTAGCAAATGTTCTGCATGAGTAAACTTATCTTTATCAAATAATAATCTTGGACAATGATTTTGACGTCAATAGAGTGTCAATAGGTTGGATCTATGGGTACTTGCCCATATTCTATATTTAGAAAAGATAATATATTCGGTATAGATATTATTCTGTGATTGGAATGGAATAGATTGTAGTCGGTTTTTTCTGTATTCAATGATAATTTGTTAGATTCAAACCAAATATCAAGTATAATACTTGCAGTTTCAAAAGGTCCTGTGATAGAAGTAGATTAATAAATTAGTATTATTTGCAAACATTATGGCATCGATTTTGCTTGATACTTTTGGAAGATCATTGATGTACAATAAGAAGACTAAGGGAGCTTAAAGGGAACATTGGGAAACTCTGCATTTTTTTTAAGCAATTTTAAATGCATAATCTGTAATAACACATTTTTGTATGTTTGTTAAAATGCTCTTAAAAAGTTATAAAGCAGATTTTTAACGCCAAATTTTCCATTTTGATAGGTCAATAAAGATTCCTAGTACAAATTTGTTTTTTATCAAAAGAGATATTGATTTTATTGGCAAGATCTAATAAAGCATGCTCAGTTGAATGTTATTAGTAAGGCATTTATATAGATTATTCTAAACTATTCCTTTTAGCCCTTTAATGCATGGGGACCTTAAACATGATAAAATTTCAAATTTTTTTAGTAGATTTCTTAAAATACTTGATATAATCAAAATCAATTGTTGTTTTTTACTTTTAGCATTACCTTCCTGGAGATATTAATCGTCCATTGAAATGGACATTATGCATTCGGGGAAAAGAATTTACAAAAATTTGACAAGGCAATTTGTTGATTGTTTACATTTATTTTGCTCCATGAAATGCTCAAAAACATGCATTATTAGCTACGCATAAATATATATTGCATTTTTTTCCATACAGTTTGTATTTGCAACGTTGTGAATTCGGATTCTCTATTAGAGCTTGCCAATGTTCAAATATATCAAGACGGATATCAATTGGAATATCATTTGCTCTTATAGAACGTTTTTCTGGCAGTTTATTATGATCCTCATCTGGTAATTGGTCAACTCCATTTATCAGAGAAGTACACACAACGAGTTGTTGTGTGTACTTCTCTGATAAATGGAGTTGAACGAGTTGTTTCCACCAATCTGCCGGAAAATCTCCCAAGCATTGTTTGCTGCTAAACTGAACAGATGAAAGGCAACTTGGTAATACCAGTTTTTCGATCTGTATTTTGTACGATAGAGTGACAAAAGCATATCTACTTTGTTAACACCCCCTATAAAGGTGTTGTAAGTTTTGACAGCGGCAAGTCGACTGACATCAATTTTTTTTTTCCTTTTTTTCATACTTCTTGCATGTGTCAATAGGATCTTTGGCAATATAGTTTGATAAAATGAGAACAAGTTTGTTGTCATACTAAACTGTTATTATAATTTTTGAGGAAGAACCAACAAACTGTTCAATGTAACCACGACCAGATTTTTTCATTTGAGATTCATTTGGAATTGGGTATACTCGAGTACAATTTACATTTAATTTAGACAAAGCCCAAGTTTTCTTAGTATCTCTCAGGTGTATTGCTAGCTCTAGCAATATAAAGTAATTTAAAAAAAAAATGTTGGTGTGCATTTAGTAAAAGATCATTTGAAAGACGCATTTTAACAAACGCACTCTCGCCGCACCCATTTGGAGGATTACATCCTTGAGGAGGACCTTTTACACCAAGACCACCTTCAACTTCAAAATCATAAATATACCAAGAAACTCCTGCTCTTGTCCACACTTTGTAACACCACTTTTTTGGTTTCTTAGGAAGATAGCGTTTCGAAGAATGAGTTCCTTTGAAAGGAATGATCTGCTCATCTATTGGCATATCATATTCTGGTTTTACGATTTAAAAAACTGTAGCTTATGATTACTAAAACTAAACTTATCATTGGTTAATGACTGAAACTTGAAGTATTTATTGTAATTATCACTATCCTTGTTGGGTATGTTGTTGTTAACATTAAAATGTATTACTGATAAAATCTCATCAAACCGGTTGATTGACATGGATGATGCAATAAGTTTATTACCTGTTCTTGTTTTCCAATACATTCTTTGGTTGGGTAGTTTTACAACTCTTATGTACAACACAATGCCAATGACAACACTTATTTCTATATTTAACTCTGTGCGCACCATGTTGTAGATTTCTCCATTCATTGTACAAAAGCGTTTGTTCCAACATAAAGTCAATTAGTTCTGTGTTAAAATATAGGCTGTAAAATTCAATTGGATTAAAAAAGCGTAAGAGAAAAAAAAAAGTCAATATCTTGGTCTCTTTCGGCGATTTTACTGCATCGTGAGATTTTTGCTTTTTTGAAAATTGTAAAACAACTTCTTCACATATATCTTCTTCATTCTCATCTTCCTCATTCTCATATTCCTCATTCTCATCTTCTTCATTCTCATCTTCCTTCTCACTAGTTTCAATTTCAATATCAAGTTCATTGTAATCAGAAAATTCCAAGTCGAGTACATCTTCACTTAAATTAATTTCAAGTAAAGGTTGTACATTATCATTTCTCTTTTTCAAGCCGCAAATTGTTCTACAAAGTAGAAAAATAATAGTATTTTTCTTGTATGCATAACTTGCATTGAAGTGAATAAACATTGTAAAAAAGCTTTTTCCATTGAAATTTTAATGTGTTTACAAAATTATTGTTTTTAATATCGTAAAGACCAAAATAAAAAAAATAATGCTAAAAAAGTCCAAAATTGCATAATGTCCATTGTAATAGACAACTTAGGAAGTTCTAAGATTCAAAGCTAAACTCACCTCACGTTGCTTTCTTTTCCAGAAGCCATCTTGTTAAAGAAAATTTGTACGGTTAACGAATTTAAGCAAACGTTTTTTTAATAAACTACAAATATCGCCCGAAGCAATACCGTTTGGATTTTTTTATGATAATATTTTTTTTAAGAACAGTACTAAATTTTAAAATGTTTATTTAAATAGACGCTATGAAATAAAGGGCTAGAAGTTTAGAAAAGACAGGAAGAATTGAGATGGGTCTGTATTTGTTTAGTGAAAATGGCTCTATATATGGTTTTATATATTGGTACAACTTTTGCAGTTTTTAATTTGTCTAAATATTTTGCTATTAAAAACCAATTTTTTTTTCTAAATGTCAATATAACTGCCAATATCCCAGTGGGCATAAAAATGTTTTGTGAACATTTTTTTATGGTCCGTTTAAACGTTTTTTTATTGTTTTTATTTTTAAACGACCATATGAAGCGGTGACCGGACGTTTTTTTAAAAACGTTTTTTCAATATATTTTATTGGTTTTTATTAAGTCAAAATGAAACATTTTATCGTTTTCAACATAGGTTCTAAAAACTTTTTTTACCTATAAGTTATTTAAGTAAATTATTATTAAAGCATTATTTGCAGAAGCTGAAATTGAATTCTCACTTATATGTTTATATAACGGACTTAAAAAGTTCATATTTAGTTTAATCAGATTTTACTTCATTTAGAAAAACTTTATACATAGATGTAAACAAGAACAAACCAACAAATAAAACTTTACTTTGTTATATAAAACTATTTCACTTTCATCAAACCCTGTTTTTTCATTTAATTTATCATAAAAAATAATGAATCTTTGAGCTGTCTTTTTCTCGTGAATATCACCATGGCAGCTCCATAATTATTGCTTATTAAAAACCTATTTAAAAAAAAAAAAAAAAAAAAATTAGAACAAAGTAAAATATTAATGGAAAATTGTTATTGTGTTAATTGAACTAAATACTATAACATTTCTTGAAAAATGAAAAGTCAACATTTATTAAAATACGTGTT